GTAGGGTAAGCATGTGCTATGGCACGAGGGCTGTGGCTGTACTAATGTTCATTGGACTCTTTTAATGGCATGGCTTCACCTCATTCATTCAGGCATCTTACTTTGTGCATTATCACAGCTAGACTCTCTCTAGACTTGTCTACACTCCTACCAGCTTACCAACAGAAGCTTATACCCACTAACACCTTATTTCTGAATTGGGTTCATTGACACCGTTGGAGAGCAAGGAAGCCTGTAGGGAGCTGAAAGAAGACCAATATGGTGTCACCTATGTGCCAAGACACAAGACACAGAAAGGGCATGTCTACACATTCATTAATGCGCAGTAGTTACTGTGCATTTTATTTAGCGCTTGCTTAATGAAGTACTAACTAAATGCACAGTAACTAGAGCGACTGCGCAGTAGCACTGGCAAACACCTTTTTAGTGATGGTGACTGCACAGAGGCGTGTTAGTACTGTCCGTGCTGTGACATGCTACTGGGCAGTGTTATTAGGCTACTGCACATTAAGTGTCTCGTGTAGACATGCCCAGAGTGTAGTAACCAAGAGGAAGAGGAAAGCAATACATTACCCTACCTCCAATTACTTTTCCAGCTCCTTGGTATGTAGTTTGAGCTTACCGGTGTGCATTGGAGCTTGAAAACAAGGGTTGACATGGCTAAAGTTTATGCTTAGATAAGGGTGCTCAATCTGTCCCACTTTGTGCATCCCAGAGTCACTGCAAAGCAAATTCTGTTTGTGGTTAAATTTAAACGTTGTCAAAGCAAGTGGAGTAAAATAGTCTATGGAACAACAACCATGTATCTTGCTGTAATGTTCAACTGTTTTTGGGAATGGATCATAAATATGCATGAGTGCTCACCACAAAATGACTAATACCATGAAGGAAAAGAAGATGACAGCTCCTACCTCAAGAACATGGCCATTTAAATTAGGAAGACGATACCCTGTCAGCTGGCAGCACAACAAATGAACTAATGATCTCAGAGCAACATGACCTTTTTGCTTGGGGCTAAAACACTTTTTATTAATGCTGGAAGAAGAATAACTTTGCTCAGTGTCTGGTTGGGTGCAGGTTGCAGCACCAAATCAAGTGCTCAGCTGGGGCAATTTGGCATGGTTACTTATGCCATTAGAGGACCAGGCTCTCTCTACAGCAGTGATTCTCAACCAAGGCACAGTGAGATCCTTTAAAGGATGCAGCACAATATTAGCAGCAGCAGTGAGCTTTTTATGTGTCTTTGGACCACCCATTTGAGACTGGTCGTGTAG